GGCTGAGAACAAACAAAACTAGCTACTTTTCCTTTGTCCCTAGACCCAGGAATGAGCTTTCCTGATCCAGTAGGGGTGAACACAGGAAGGGACCAGAGAATTCTGACCTACAGGGACTTGTGATGGTTAATATTAAGTGTCAACCTGATTGAATTGAAGGATGCAAAGTATTGTTTCTGGGTGTATCTGGGTGTTTCTAGGTGTTGCCAGGAAAGATTCACATTTGAGTCAGCAGACTGGGAGGGGCAGACCCAACCACAATGTGAGTGGACACCATCCCATCAGCTGCCAGTGCAACTACAAAAAGCCAGCAGAAGAAGGCGACAGAAGTAGACCTGCTGACTTTTCCAGCCTTCATCTTTCTCCTATGCTGGATCCTTCCTGCCCTGGAAAATCAGACCCCAAGTTCTTTGGCTTTTGGAGTCTTGGACTTACACCAGTGGTTTGCCAGGGGCTCTCGGGCCTTTGGCCACAGACAAGGCTACACTGTCCAACTTTCCTACTTTTGAGGTTTTGGAACTCTAACTGAGCCACTACTGTCTTCCTTGCTCCTCAACTTGCAGACAGCCCATCTGGGTCTTCATCCTGTGATCATGTGAGGCAGTTCTCCTTATATGAAAGTTCTCTTTTCATGTATACATATATCCTGTTACTTCTGTCCCTCTAGAGAACCCTAATAAAAGACCCCATGACCCAAATGTCCCCAAGTCCACACTTTCATATTTCCTCCCTCCCTCTTCTTATGCTTGGCACACCACTGTGTATGAAGAGAGAACTGGGCACACTTTACACAATAGGCCTGACATGATTTCCCCAAAACCACAGAGATAGTCATCAGATCGGCACCTGGGTCCAGTATCCTGTTCCCCACCCACAGAACCCTTCATCTCTCTTACCTCTTTGTCTGAGAAATCCCACCCCCATGGGCAATTTCTTTATTTTATTTAACAAATACCTTAGAGTGCCTATGTAGGGCAGTGTTCTAAGAACTCCTACATCCATTATCACATGTAATCCTCATGACGCCTTCTGAGGGAGGTAATTCTACATTCCTGTTCCCAGATGAGCCAGCTGAGGCCCCTGAGAGGTTTGATCACGTTCAAGGTCACAGAGTTGGGACAAAGTGAGGCCAGAATTCAGACGTAAGCATCCTGGCTGCAGAGTTATCTCCTGCCCTGAACTGGAACCAAAGGGTGGGAACCTGTGAGGAGGAAGACCTTGAAGACGTGGTTTTCTTTCTGTGATATCCCAGGGTCATGGGTGATGTCAGTCCAAGAGGAAGGAATCCAGATCCCATCGCATAACACAGTACTTGGCCCTTGAGAATCCTTTTTCTTTTTTGGTCTGTTTTTCAGATTTTCTCCCTTCTCTGAAAGGGGGAGTATTAATGCTTTTCCCTCATATTTTTTAAAATAAGTACAAATACTTCAGTATTAAAGTGCTTAAGCATCCTGGCTCTGCAAAGGCAAAGGGCTCTTGAGAGGTAAGTGAGTCATTCTTCATCACACAGTTTCTTCCAAACGCTCGGGTTTGCTGCCTTCAAATGGGTCCCTGGGCACCCACTCCAGGGTGACAGGTTTCCTCTGGTTGCTTCTGCTCCTGAGGGGATCCCTGCCTTTTATTTTCTTGTTTTGCTTGGATGCCACTAACTCTTTAGCAGTGTGTGTGGGGTCGGGGGAGGGGGTGAGTGTAGGTTAAATGTATTTCTCCAGCAATCTGGAAGTTAGCTGAGGGTCAGGAAGGGAACGTCATGTGTAAAAATGTCAAGTTAGCTAGACGGACCCAGGGGCTCCTGCTTGCCTGGTACCTGAGCCTCTTCAGCACCGCTCATGATGTTGTGGCACCAGGTGCCAGCAAGGCCACAACCCACTAGCACTCCAGGTGTGGCCATATAGCCTGAGCGAGATGCAGGTCGGACTCCAGCTCTACCCCTTGGGATGGCCCTGTTTCTCAGCCTGGCTGTGCTAATTCTCCCACCCCTGAAATGAGTTAAAATAAAACCAATGTACAGAGCTGCAATTAGGATAAAATCAGGTCACACATGTGAAGGGACTTCTTTACATGCAAGGGACCAAGCTCCTAGCTTACCACCATTATAATACTTACATGGAGGAAAAATGGGCACTAAAAAGTGATAACCCATGCCAAAAATATGGATGAATTTCATCAATGTGTAATAAAATTACACCTTGATTGACCAGATTACAGCGAGTGCCAACCCCCCACTGTTCAATGTGAAGGAGACCGGGTGCTACCCACCACCCCACCCTCCCTAAGCTGGAGTGGCAGGGGCTGCAGGTGAGCAGCGGCAGCTGCACAGACATATTGCCAGGCCTGGCTACTGCACCCGGACTAGCACTGGCCCCTCCTCTCGACTCCGGCCCATGATGCACAGCTAGCAGAGAACAAATCAACGTCCCTGTAAAGCCCTGGCCACCTCTCCGAATAAAGCAAGGATGCTCCACCACACCCTCTGTCCCAGTAGCCTCTTGATTTCTCTCCCCATAGCTCCCCATCCTGCCCTTGAATGGGGGCATATAAGGAAAGAATAAACCAAGCGTTTTCTGCTTCCATTTGTGCACGGAAATTTCAGAGTGCTACACTAACTCCCACAGCCACTGGTCACATTCTCTTGCCACCAACTTTGCCCCATGTACATGCAAGGTGCTAGCAAGACCGTGAGGAGCAGGAGCGAATGCAGTGTACTCTTTCCTGGGACTCTCATTCTGGTATGGGAGACCAGCCATAGAAGGTATAAGACATATTCCGGCAGGAGAGCTGAAATTACACATTCACTGAGTACCTGAAAGGCCTGCAATAACCCCCGTGTCACATAATACATATATAATAATAATAAATCTTTTTTTTGAGACAGAGTTTCACTCTGTCGCCCAGGCTGGAGTGTAGTGGCATGATCTCAGCTCATTGCAACCTCTGTCTCCTGCGTTTAAGCAATTCTCCTGCCTCAGCCTCCCAAGTAGCTGAGACTACAGGCACCCGCCACCATGCCTGGCTATTTTTTAATATTTTTAGTAGATATGGGGTTTCACCATGTTGGCCAGGCTGGTCTCAAACTCCTGGCCTCAGGTGATCTGTCCGCTTCGGCCTCCCAAAGTGTTGGGATGACAGGCATGAGCCACCATACCGGGTCATAGGAGCTTATGGCACCAACAAAGCAAAGATAAGAGCCTAATGCCATCAAAGTGGTGGCTTCTTTTCTATGTTAATAACATTTAATGTAAACAAATGTAAAGTTTAGTTGTTTTTTCATGACTGCCTAATTTGTTGATCTTTGGCTAAAGTGTTCATGGCATTATGGTGAGGAAATCAACTCCTGCTAAGGTCAATAATTCATTCACTCATCTATCATTCTACAATTTTTTTCAAGTTGAGCATTATGAAACGACTGACTGTGCAAGTCAAAACAGGCAAACACTAACAACTTCATATGCTTCAGCGAACTGAGAACCAGGGCCAGGCACTGTGCTGAGTGCAGGGACTTCCAACCCAGCAGACAGCCCTCCTCTCATAGAGTTTAGATCCTAAAAGTGGAACAAAATGTCACCAAGTAAACAAATAAAGGCAAACCAGCATTTTAAAGTGTGATAAGAACTATGTCGAAAAGGAGACTAGGCAATGAGAAGGAATTGTGACCACCAGGAAGGGAGGCGTGGGCAGGGGGTCAGGGAAGTTCTCTGGGAGAAGACGACATAATGACATTTCAGCTGAGACCTGAATGATGGCACATGATCAGCCATGTGAATGTATAAAGTCAAGACAGCCAGGATAGAGAATCCCAGTCTGCAACCCCCAGTCTGGTCAGCCCAAGGCTACCAGTCACACTGGATCAGCAAAATGAGGTCAAAGTTTCCACACCCACCCATACTTTGACAAAGGAAACTAATTCAGGAGCCCTCAAAGGCTCGATCAGTGGTTTTTAATGTTTGTTTTTTGTTTTTTCCCTTCAAACACACCAGGTCTCATCCTACAGCTAGCATAAGAAGAACAGCTTCATTATTTCATTCACTAAATTATGCTATATTAAAATTTTAATTGGCGAACATAACATTGGTAAAACGAGTACATCCACACACTGCTGTTGCCAGTGTAAACTGTCAAACCATTTTTTTGCAAAAGCAATATTGCAACACAAAGAAAAATCCATAAATCATATTCTTGGCCTCCCAACTCTACCCCCAGGGAATTTATCCTAAGGAAATAATCTGGTTCAATAGAATAAAATGTTCTCTCCAGAAGAACTCCATGAAGGTGCTAATTGTTACAGACACAAAGGAAAGAAAAAACAAAACACCTGGAATTATCCAAATGACTGCAAATGGGGGGTTTTAACAAAATAGGATAATTCATTTGATGAGATAGCATACGATCATTAAGCATCATAACAAAGATGACAAAGTTTCAGAAAGAAATGGGATATCCAGCTTTTTGAGGGAAGCAGAAAACAATGTGCATATTTTAATGGAAAGCATGTAAACAGTATCTCAAGGTGAATAAGAACACGAAAATTGAAAAGAATTGAATCAAGGCCAGTGGGGTGAGGAATTATTTATTTCAAAAGTCCTTCCAAAATATTGTCATTGTACTGAGTTCTTATTTTTTAAAAAATTCCTCAGAAACAATAGTACGAGAACACTGCCATAGCGTGCCACCCAAATACAAGGACATTTGTTCATTCTAACTTTAAATACAAAATAAAACCAAATTTGAAGATGCCTTCTGTGTTATATATTCCACAGTCTTTCACGTATGGCTCCTGTATGTGAAACTCGACTTGGAATAGCAATGCAATGTTGTTGCATGATTTTACAATAATTTCCCTTGTTTGGGGGGTTTGTGTTGGGGAGGGAGGCCAGAGTGACTAGAAATTAATCTCCTCTTTTACTGAATGTGGGGGAGGAACAGCAGATGAGAAAAGGGGCTTTAAGGCCCATTAGCGCCGGCCTTCCGTGGCAGCAGAGGCGTAGGCTGGAGGCACTCACCTTTCACAATCAGCTCCGCGTAGTTGGACACACCAGAACCACCGTCAGAGCGGATCACACAGCGGTACTTGCTGACGCTCCGCTGGGCAGTGTCTGCCACACTGACCGTGGCTGAGAAGCGCCTGTGGTTGACCACGCGGGTGACCATCAGGGCCGTGTCCCTCCCATTCCATTGCTGTAGAACAGAGGAAGAGAGGGAGAGGAGGAATCATAGCATCTTAGACTTCCAGGCGACTCCCAGCACGGATGTCCACCCATCCTCACACCCCAGGGGCTCAGGACTTTCAACCATAAGAAGGGATTTCCAGCCAGGCACAGTGGCTCATGCCCGTAATCCCAGTGCTTTGCAAGGGCTGAGGCAGGAGGATCATTTGAGGCCAGGGTATGAGACCAGCCTGGGCAGCAAGCAAGACCCTGAAGCTACGAGAAATTTTAAAAAATAGCCAGGCATGGTGGCACTCACCTTCAGTCCCAGATACTCTGGAGGGTGAGGAGGGAGGATCTCCTGAGCCCACAAATCCAAGATTGCAGTGAGCCATGATCAAGCCACTACACTCCAACCTGGGTAACAGAGCAAGGCCCTGCCTCTTTTTTTTTTTTTTTTTTAAAAAGGTGGGAGTTTTCATGGCTGGTTTGTGCTAATGGTCTGATTCAATAATAAACTTTGCTAGTGAGCTGATTCGAGGACAGAGGCCTGGTGGTAAGAGGAGAGGAAAAAGGCTCCTTCTAAACACCCTGGCTCAGCCTGCATTTGGGGCTGGCATGCAGCCCCTTCACTTTCCTTCCTCTTTTCCTTTTTCCCTGAAGCAGAACCCATAGCATTCTCTCAAACTTCAGTAGACTTAGTGAAAACCCAGCCCACATGGAATAAAAACAGCCCCGCTCCCAGGCCCTATGGCTGGTGCCCTGCTACCCCACCCCACAGGCTCTGAGCCCCACCTGCCCTAGGCTATCACCACAGGTAGGGAGGGGACGGTAGCTTTCCAACACCCGTCTCCCTCGGCACCTGCTCTTTCCTCTGCCTGGAGGGTCTAGTCTCCCTGAGGACACCCCGTCCCATAAAAACCCACGTTCAGCTCACAGTCATCACTAGTCAGTTCTCACAACTGTCACACCATCTCTAGAAGCTTATCCTGCCCTTAGGTACGATACAAACTTTCCCCACACGTTTGCTTACAAGTGTTGCTCATTTTACACTGAAGGACTTTCCTCTGCTCATCTTTAGAAGCTTGTCTGAAAGCCTCTCAAGGTGGTAGACATTTCCAGAATCAAGGTGAATACACATGGGCTTTTGTCTTCAGCATCCTGAGTTTCAGGAGGGATAGCCTGAGTTTGAACAAACCTCTTTCACAGCTGCAAGTTGTGAGAACTGGTAACGTACAGGCATGTCAATGCAGTTTGAGTGGGTGTTTATTAACGTTATTAACTGGATGTTTATCTAGTATGTGCCAGCCCCTGGGCTGGGTATTTTTGTATAAATCCTCATTGTATCTTCACAGCCTTGTTTGGGGTTTGTACAACTGCTGTTCTTCTTGGAAGAAAAATCCAAATGTCCAACAGTTTAGCTAAATGCGTAGAGTACATGAGCCCCTTACCCAGGTTTTCCAACTTCAAGTCAAGCACTCTTTTTACTAAGACCGTATTCTCAGTGCCTGCTTTAATTTAAAAATGTTTTTCCCCAAAAAGTGAAATTGACTACTTTAATTATCTGGACTTAGGGAAACCTTATGACTCATGATTCTCATGCCGAGTCTCCCAGTCTCCCAAGATGCGATCTTCATAGTTTCCTGCACAAAGTAAACAGTTTCCCCATGTGCACATCCTACTTTCATCTATATCATCTTCCCTCACCCTCTACAGTGACCTGTCAGGAGGAGGGCACAGGTGCAGATAGAGCCACACTGCTCAGCTCTATGGCAGCAAATGAGGGGAGACCAATACCAGGAGAAGGCAGTGATCATGAAGGCCAGAAACCCAGGGTAACCCAGGACCCCATCAAAGGGCAGCTAAAAGAGACTTGCTACAGATTAGACAGGGAAATTGTAGGCAATATTTTGCTGCTGCTTTTTACTTTTTGACATTCTTCAGACTTTGTCTCAAACATGTATTTCCCTTACACTTGTACATAAAAAAATGAATGGTATTGTTCAAAAGCCATGGCAGAATGAGAGGTAACCATAACTGCCTCCCATGCCAGAAACTAATCGACATGTGGAATAGTTAGTACACATCAGAGCAATAAGCATGGGGCTGTAAGAGGAGAATCTGAAGCCAAGTGCCAGCTCTGCAGCTTCCAAGCTGTGCAGACTTGAGCAGGCAATTTCACTTCTCTGAACTGGAAAGTTTCTATTCACCTGCCCGAATAAAAACCAGTACAAGGTAATGGAAGGGGAGAAAAGTCACCAGGGCTGAAACTGCCAACCAGCTACCTCATGCCTTCAGGCATCTTTGCAGGAGATGGCACAACTTGGACCCCACTATGAGAACGTATGAGACACCACACGTAATGTCCCTTCCCAAAGTAGTGCAGGGAGGAAGGAGGAAAAATTCTGGCAAACACCAGGAATGTATCCTGATTTGGAAAAGAGGTCACTAAATGAAAAGAAGGGCCTTGGAAGAAGGGGGGTCATCAAAAGGAGCCCATCTTCTCCACTGCTGAGCAAGGCACTTCGGGGCCACCATGGTGGATAAGGATGAGTGAGTGTTGAGGCTTTGGGTGAATATTTTCTAACCTGAGTTATTTATAACTTTATAAACATTTTCATTTTTTCTTTATTAAGCTAACAACAGCTAAACACCATTATGTGCTAAGTGTTTTATATGCTTTCTCATTTATTCCCCATGAAAAATAAGGTAGGCGCACTTCTTATCGCTCTCATATATAAGAGGAAACTGAAGCTCAGGGAAGTGAAATTGCCTCCCCAAGGCTGCCCAGCTTGGAAGCTGGAGAGCTGGCATCTGGCTTCAGATCCTACTCTTACAATGCCATGCATGTTACTCCAGTGTGGACTAACCACTGCCCCATCACTCATCTCTTCAAGCACCCTCATTTCTCAGAGTGGGAGAGTATGGGCAGCAGGTATGACATCAGGATCCACCTATTTGCCACCAATTTATTAGCTGAGAACAATAAAAAAGGGTGGGGGATGTAGTAATGTTGCATAAGGGGTGGAGAGAAATAAGCAAAATGCACATGCCCAACCCAAGCTCATGAAACACAGAGCTTTGCCTTGGACATCCATCTTCTGAACAGCCAAGAAATATGGGAGATTAAAAAAGAGAGACTGAGAATGATATCAACACATGGTCTCCACAGAACATGAGCTAAGAGATGAGGTGACAAGGACAGGTACTAAGAAAGAAGATACAACTCGGGGAGCCAAGGGAATAATTGAGGAAAACAAACAATGCCATTTGCAGATTTCAACATGGTATTAGAAGTAAAGAACAGGATCAACATTGCAGAAAACCAGCGACCTGGAGGACAGGCCTGGAAAAATAACCCAGATGGCAAAGAAAGCAAAGATAAAGGAAATCAGTGAGAGGCAAAGTGATCAAGAAAATGGACAACAGACAACTAACTACCCTGTAAGTAACTGGAGCTCCCAGAGAAGAGAGTGCAATGAATGGAATGAAATCCTATCCCAAGATACAGGAGGTCACTTTCCTGGACTAAACTAAGACCTGACTTTTCAGACTGAATGGCCCACCATCTATTTGATAAAATTTACAAAAACAAAAATAATTGTTTATAAAAATATTAAGAATAAAGAAATATATAGAAATCCAGCAGAAGAAAATAATGTACAAAAATACAAGCCCATCTGGTATAAAACTCCTCATACGCAATTGTTCCCAAATCCAAGGTGACCTCTCCTGGATGTGACTGGCCCACCAATGGTCACAGGTGAGCTCCCAGGAGATTCCTGTTACCTAGATGCCTGTAAGAAAACAGGGATGGAGCTAGAGAAAGACAGGATAGGGACTGCTAATAAAACTAATCACGGCAAATGCTTAGTTTGTGCGACCTTCGGTGGGTGATTTCATTTCTCTGAGCTTCAGTTTCCTCATCTACACAAAAGATTTGAAAATGGTGCCCACTATATAAAGTTATTGTGAGGAATAAACGAGAAGGCATGCAAAACAGCACATGAAGCTGTATTCTACTGTTTGCAGAGCTCTAGTGTTAGCAGAGCTGTGAAATTAGCCATAAAAAGTGTGGTAGACAGGCTGACAGCTCCCCAAAGATGCCAATATCCTAGTCCCCAGAACCTGGGAATATGTGACCTTATATGGCAAAAGGGACTGTGAAGATGTGAATAGGTCAAGGAGCCTGAGATGGGGTGGTCATTTTGGATTAGCCATCTGAGCCCAATGTCATCAAAAGAGTCCCTATATTTGAAAGAGGGAGGCAGGAGAACCAGAGACAGAGAAGAAGCTGTGGGACAGGAGAGGTCAGAATGATGCCATCACTGGCTTGAAGATGGAGGAAGGGGCCAGGAGCCAAGGAATGCAGGCAGCCTCTAGATACAGGGGAAGGTAAGGGAATGGATTCTCCACTAGATGCTCTAATAAGAATGCAGCCTGCCAAAAGCCTGCCAACACCCCCATGTTAGCCCAGTGAAACCCACTTCTGACTTATCTCCACAACTATAAATAAATAAATTTGTTTTGTATAAGCTATTACACTTGTGGAATTTGTTACAGTAGCAATAAGAAACTTACGTAAAGAGAAAAAGACTGGTTACATGCAAAACATTCATTTTTCACATTTAATTGAAATTTTATTTTCATGTCACCTCCAGGATTATTTACTTTTCTTCTTAATGATGTCAGATTCTAGCAGGGCCAGGGAAGATTAAGGGTGTCCATCTGAACGATTCACATTTTTCTGTTAGCTCCTGAACCAACAGGCTTTATCCTACTGAAAGATAGGAAATTGCAGGTTGTCTTATAAAATGTCTGGAAAATAGGCCTTTCGATAATCACACTTGTCATATTGGGAGCAGGCAACAGCAGAATAGGGACGAGCAGGAGGGCCTAGAGTCATGCTAGGAAATAGCGCTGGATGCACCACTGGCAAGAAGAAACAAAGGTCAAGTTCAGAGAGGTGAGCCCAGATGAGAAGGGCCTATGAATGTGACTGTTCAAGACAAGGCAGGGAAGGGCAGGCAG